CTGTTGCCTGGAGCGAGGCCCGGCCTCGGCTGCTGGGGCGGTTTTGAAGTCGTGGGGGGAGGTGCGCAGCTGCCCCCAGCTGTGCCCTCTGCCCAGGCTCACAGAGTGCCTGAGCCCACTGGGGCCCAGTTTTGAGGCAACTTGGAGCCATTTTGTAAAACTAGGCAAATTGCACAAGAGATGTGCTTTTGCGTAAGAGCATCCGTGCCAGTGTAGACGCTCTCTTGCCCAAGAAAGCTCCGATGGCCATTTTAGCCATTGGGCTTTCTTGCACAAGAAATTAATGTTGCCTGTCTGCACTGGCCTCTTGCGCAAGAACAGTTGCACAAGAGGGCTTATTCCTGAGCGGGAGCATCATAGTTCTTGCGCAGGAAGCCCTGATTTCACACATTAGAACATCAGTGTTCTTGCACAAGAACTCCCCGCCAGTGTAGACAGGCAGCATGTTTTTGTGCCAAAGCTGTTGCTTTGGCGCAAGATCGCGCCAATGTAGACACAGCCATAGAGTTTGATTCTATAAAGAGTCTGCACAAAGTACTGTGGAATTCATGTGCCCAGTAAGCACAGAAAACCACCAATAGTTTTTCACAATGTTTAAACCAGTATCATGCCATTTATGAATCACAGTTAATTGTAAGCCCACCACTAAACGAAAAGTTGTTCCACAACTGCTGAATTCAAACTGCAAGTGTTAAAACAGTGTAAAGTCTAAACAGTGTTACTCCAGAAAGTGTATTACACTTTGTTTTTGGGATAAGTCAATCTTATCCCAAAAACGAGGGCAAATTATGTTTATGGGAATTGAATGTAAATACATTTTTATTTTTTTTTTAAATCTTGATTTTTTTCAAACTCAAGCAGAAGAAAGGTTAACCGGTTATCCCTTATCCATTTAGGGTGATGCTTAATGGCTAATTCTTACTGATTCTAATAACCAGTAACCAGTGGGGGCTGGAGCAGCTCCCAGCAGGACAGGGGGCCCACCATAAACAAGTACTGGAGTTGCCCCTGCCTTCGAGATGTCCAGGTCTGGAACATAGCAGGGGCAGCTCCAGCTGCTGGGGCTTGGGGCTGGGAACTGCGAACAGGCAGCAGCTGGCTCCAATGCAGAACTGGGGGCAGGAGCCCCAAGGGCAGGGGGCTGCTGCAGCCAGGCTGGAGCAGTATGGTCCCCAGCCCAGATCCCACTTTAGTCAGGTAACTGGTTAAACATTAGGTCAACCTAACATTTAACCGGTTAACTAATTAACTGAGATTTTATGTACCTAAACACAACATGGCACAATACTGATGTCTGGTTTGGTAGAACACAGGATGGAGCCACAAATATTGGATTTCTCTAATCCCATCTCATCCACTAAAACGTAGTGACTTCCAACAACTCACAAAATGTCCCTGTGTCTGTTTTTCTGGTCTGTCCAGATGGTAATAATAGGGAAATGTGAGGATTAATTAACTGAATGCATAGCACTTTGAACATGTGGCAAACGAAACCAGTGTGACTAATGTGCTACACGACTCTAAGATCCAATGACGTTACTAACCATTTCAGGTTCATTCTTTGATTACTGCAGTGGCTTCAGAAACCAGCGATGTGAGTGAAATGTTGTATATCAATATGTAGTATATTCTTCCCCTATAGCTCTCCTTCTCTCCATATAAATAAAAGAATGTAATAGTTATGAAGTCGAGTGCTCAAAAATTATGAAATGCCAGGTTTGAATTTACACATGCTATTTAACTAAGCCTCTTATGCTTGCGCATTGTCATAAAGTCTTTAATTGCATGACCCATACTGTTTGCACTATCACTAGCCCCAGATGTCTTACACTTGGTACTAGGGGAAAAAAAGGAATGCCCAGTTAAAGGCCAGTTATGAATATTTTCATTTGAGTGACTTGTTCAACATTACATAAGAATTCTATTGAAGAGGTAAGAATGGGATGCAATTCTCCAATCATGCTGACCACTCAACTTGATGCATCGGTGGGCTTGGACCTTCAGATTTACAGCACAGAACTCTGCCTATTGAACTAATGCAGTAACTGGTAGCAATAGTGAACTGTTATTCTCTGATTGGATCAGACACTGGTGGTGGGGGAGAAACACACCTCACTCTGGGTTTTACAGCTATTTGCTGACAGGAAAAGAATGTAGAGACTCAGGACCCGGGGCAGTGTTCCCTGTAAGCTATGCACTTGTGCAGCCGCTCAGGACAGATTCATATGCCACCTAACTGATTAGCAGAGAGCTAGCAGGTAGGTTGTTGTTTCTACTAGTGCTGCTTATTTGCACATGCCTTGGTTCACATAGATTATTTTTTTTGCAAATTGATGGAAAACACTGCACATGAATGGAAAATATTAGAGGGAACATTGGTCCCAGCAAGTCTCTACTGAGCATGTGTGAACCGACTCTTTTTCCAGAGGCTTGTAACTTGGTCATATGGGAATGAATGTTTACAAAGACAGCAAAAGGCACATCCCTGACACCAAAGAGACTTCTGCATTTTATTTCAAGACCCTGTTCCAAAGCAAGAAGCACAAGAACTCAGTAAAAAGTTGGAAGGATATTTTAAATGCATAAAATAACATTTCTCCCTAATCTTGTTCTTAGAAACAGTTGGACTATTTTATCTGAAACTTCACAATAAAATTTAGCCTGAGGCAGACACCCAGCATGGGAAATTTTAGTCTAAACAGCTAAAATTTGCTAAAGCAATACATAGAAAAGAGAGGCCTGTAATGAGAAGTGTTTGGCAACTCTGAGTTACGCTACCAGCTCAGCCTGTAATAAAATTATCAACTTTCCATCACCTGAGACCCCTTCCTCATCAATGTTATATCATCAATCTCCAAATGTGGGATGTCCGTCCTCTAACCCTTCAAACACATAGATGAAGTATCTTCAATTATTAAAAACATTCTCAAAGTTTTCTTCACTGCTATTTTTCTCTCATTGGTCTAGATGTAACCTTCTTTCATCTGAGTCTTGCTCGTACCTCTGCATGTCCCTCTTGACCTAACACTGCACTTAAGACCATTGACTATGACATCCATGTTCTTTGCCTAGCAACTGTCTCCCTGGTCTCAAGCATTTACCCTTACCCCTCCAGTTTAGCTTCTCCATCCTGTCCAATCACTTCTTTGATGGGTAATTTATACATTTTATTGGTAGTTCTTTCCATACAATCTCCTTCTATGGTTTTCTCCTCTTCCCTTGCCAGCTCTTTCCTTCACTCACTGTTTATGGCATATGTGGAAATAATACCTAAACCTACTGTGAAAGTATCCCCATTCTCATTTCAGCCTGTTCTTCACTTTCTCTCTCATCTGACTTATGTCAAATTTTCAGCTTTAACTTTTGGTTTATACAAGCTTGCATTTTCAAACCAGAATATATTCTTAGTAGCAGTGGAAAAGAAAAGGCTGGACAGCCTGAAAGCCCTGAGAAGTTCATCTCCAGAGAACCACTTAAAGTTCATTAAACCCGCTGATTAAAGGTCTCTCCAGTTTTAAGCATCCTAAAAGTTATACCCCACCTCCTAATTAGAAGAAACTAACTCAGGCTGACTTATTAGTCACTCGGTCTGCATACACTGCCAGGAGGACTTTTTTTTTTGTGGCTGTGTATTATTCAGTATGAACTAAGGATTTCAAGAATCGAGTAAATTACTAATCTTGTACTCGATACAATTTAAATTAAGGACTCAAGCAATGTCGGGTAAATCTTCTAGTATCTTACATTTGCAAAATATACCGTATTGGAGTAGTGAACATACCACCCACTGCTATTTGTTTGTTATTCTTTTTTCAAAGGGACATCATTGAGAAATTTGTGATCTATGCCTGTAGAAATTTGAAAATACTGTATTGTGCAGCTGTAGAGACAATATATAACATAATAGTTGCACATGTGATACTTTGTCATTATGCTAACGCTGTTTATGTAAATACAGCCATAATTTCATGATCTGGAAGTGGGAATTTTGTATTCTCTAATACACTTGTTCTGTATTTACATTTAGAACTATTCATGGCACTGTAGGAGAAGCTGGTGACATCAGGGCCCTTCCCAGACCTACAGTAAGAGGTGGGGAGCTAGGTGCTGGGGTATTGGTTTCAAGGAATCAGATGTTAAAGACATATAGAGGGTAGAGGCACATGCAGAATACATACATTCTGATGGGGGAGCAGAGAAGTATATGGGGGCTAAGGGT